CCAATTCTAACATATTTTCATGAAATTGGTGACATTCTGTCCCTATGCATTGTTTTGACACTTTTCTAAAGCAGCCCTGAGCATTTGTCACTGATTCATTGATGATTATGTTACTGACACACCCTATAAAGCTGTGGTATATGATTTTTACAATTGAACTCTTTGTGTCTTTCCAAGTGACTCTATAGTTTTGGAATGCAGCATTTGGAGGAGAGTGACTAGCTTTGACTAGTTGTTTCTGTGTTTGTAATTAGTTATGCAATCTAGGAGGTCATGTTGAAAAGCTTTCTGGAGAAAATACTCTGGGAAATCACCTACAGGAATATGGAAATTTTGACAATGCACATGAACTCTGATTGCCTGAGGGCTTATGTTTCTTCTTCTAGATTAAAAAGATTAGGCACAGAAAAACAAACAGAGCAGGCTTTCTTCTGAAACACCAAGCACCTTATCACCAGAAGTGCTGGGTTTAGTGGTGACAGCTGAGGAGGCCTAGTAAATGTCAAGAGTGGGATAACAGAATACTTCACATGAGAAGAAGAATCAGACTGGCTTGCCTGGGGTTCAGGGTGGGGGGACTGGAGGTCTAAGAAAAGCCTGTAGTGATGCAGTCCATTCATTCTGAACTGTAATTACCTACAGGTCTCGTTGAAAAAAACAATCTAACAACACTGGGGAAAGTGACTTATTGATTTTTCTTTAATTGTTTTTATTAGTTTTTTGAATTTTCATACTACGTTTTTTGATCATATTTATCCCTGTCAACTATTTCTCAACTCATTCCCCCACATTCCTACCCACTTAATTTTGTGTCTTCTTAAAACAACAACAACAAAACGTTTCTTTAAGACCAAAGTGTAGTGCCAGATATCCTTGGGTGTGTATTCTTCAACTCGAGAGATGTCAACTTCCCAGACCTACACTCTTAAAAGGAAATTGCCCTTCCTTTCCCAGCAGATAACACTTGTCAATAGCTCCTAGGCATAGAGGGGGATTGTGTGCCCAGCTCCCACTTCCATGCTGGGATTTGGTCTGCCTTGGGCTTGCACAGGTTTGTTT